GCTTTTTAATGTCTATACATGTACAGGATTGTGCCTTAAGTCACATACTTCCAGACCACTGGCCAGGATGTCTGATACAGGTGTTTGTCTGAAACATCAAGAAGTTCAGGAAGGGAGGCTTCCAGCATACAAATGAGAAATAATGGCTCCAAGATCAACAAAGGAACAAGGTGCATCAATAAAGGCACTACTGCACTCTTGAGAGCTGAGCCCTGATGAAAATGAGAGAACATTGGCTGCTTCAAAAAGAAAAGAGGAAGGAAAAAAATCCCTTTCTTATTCAATGATATTTCCTTGGAGAGAATCAGAGGGACAGAAAAAGCTAATTCCCAGGAGCATCCTCCTCCTCTTCCTCCTCCTCCTCCTCTGTTTATAAAGAAGATTCTTTACTCAGAAATGTGCACTTTCTGGTTAGTTTTTTCCTACTTTTCCAGTGTTCACACTTTGAAAGGGCCAGAAATTCATATTTGCACCCTCACAGAGTATTTCAGAATCAGCTCACAAACCCTATGTGGTACAAAAGCAACTACATCCAGTTAAGCTCTGACATCAGAATCAGGCCTACCCTTTCCTGGCCTGGGTTTGTAACAAGTACGAGTCCTACTCAGAATAATTCCATTGAAGTGAACAGGACTTAAATTAGATTAACACTGGATACAAGCCTAAACTGGACTCCAAGTTTTAGATCATCACTCCCATTACTTTATCGGGAGGAGTACAGCCTCAGCCAGTTTAGCATCCAGCATGTGGTGATCTGTTGTGGAACTGCTCTAAGATCTATGTTTGAAAGATTGGGAGTGACTGGGTCTCCATCAGTGGAAGGTTGTCTATTTCAGTGCAACTCAATTGCTCTCTTTTGTGGACTTTCACCAAACATCCTGCCAGCTGCTGGTAGAAAGAGGAGATGTTGTCCCATTGGTTACAGCTTCCATGGTTCTGGACAGATGCATATGTACTATGTGCAAAGCAATCCTATGGATATTTACCAAAAGTGTGTTAAAGTTTTTGTGTTAAACTTTCAGTTTTCTAAGTAGGTAAGTATACAATGACAGCCTTCTTCATAAATACAAAGGGTGCAATACCTTGCATGTTTAGAGAGGGAAAAAAGTCTTGGATTCTTAGCTGGGAATTGTGGTGCTTTTGCCTAAGTATCCAAAGTACCTTTGGAGCAACTCTGCTAGAGTTTTAATGTGTTCTTGGAGTTGTATCCAATGAATGGGACTTAAGGTAGGGTTAGCTTTCCTCATATTGTTGGACTACAACTCTAATCATCCCTGCCCTTTGGTCATACTGTCAGTAGTGGGTCAGATAAAGCACCAACTCCTCATCCCTGCATTAGGCATTCACTACACAAGATGAATTGATCGCCATGGGTTCAGAGGGATTTAGAGGATTAGGCAAAGTAGTAAGTCAGTTACCACGAAATGAGCTTGTCAGCCTCAAGAGTGATGTGCCATGGACTGCTTGGAACCAATGGGTTGGAACCAATGCTTGTCCTGCATAGAGAAGACTTGTGGAAATTAATGGGGCTTAATCTAGTCTGGACTTACTTGTGAGTAAACATGTAAATGATTGCTTTGTAAGATCAGGCAAGGCAATACAGTATAGTGGTCAGAATGACAAGCTAGGACCTGCGAGATATGGGCTCTTGTCCACTCTTGGTTATGAAGCTCACTGGGTGACTTTGGGCCAGTCACTCCCCCTCAGCCTAACCTACCTCACAGGGTTGTTGTGAGGATAAAATGGGAGGAAGAGGACTACCTGGGGTCTGATGGAGGGAAGAAGGCAGCATATTAATGCTAAACAAACAAACACGATCTATGCTAGAATAACAGACTCTGTAGTGATTTTCCTTCTAGGCAAAGCACACTTCTTTGCAAGTCAGAAGTAAAATCAAGGAGGTACATTGGCAGTTGCAAATGGCTAGAACTGAGGAGAGCCCTGGTTTGAAGCGTGGAACTGCTCCTGTCCAGCAGCTTTGTGGATTCTGCAGTAATGCTTTGGTGTGGCCACTCTGATTACTTCAGAAGAACATGGTTGTGCAATAGATCTTCTCAGATACTGATCGCGGTTATTGTCTTGGCTTGTAATTACTCTGTAGCAAGAACGTAAGACGATTCAAACCACTCTGGAAGCAATGATGAAAAAGTAAGTGTCTGTTTATAAAAATATTCACTACGTGCTTCCCAGACGGATGTCAGACTGGTCCATCTGAGGAATTTCTCTAGCAGTGGTATTATTAAGTACGCTAATATATTAATAATGATGGCCACACAATATATTAATCATCAAGCAAAGGAAACCTGTGAAGTACAAAACACCATTGTGTTACCTTCACATCCTCTGACCAAACGCTTGATTACCAGGAAAGGAAGACTGCAATTCGAAACACCAGTAAGTAAAACACCCCTGAGCAAACATCGCAGTTACTTCCGAGCAAACATTCATAGACATGCCCTGCGCGTGTCCCCAACTTCGCAGAATGTATAAAAATGCCTTTATTTCGCTTCTTATCGCGATTCCGACAAAGAAGCCCCGCACCAAAAGTAATCTTTGAAAAGGTTTTTTATTAGTATTATTTGATCGTTCCCTGTCTCTCTCTCTCTCTTAAAAAAAAAAATCCTTACATAAACAATGGCAGCTGGCTTTGCTAAAATAAACGTTTCGTGTAAAAAGGTTATTTAAAAAAGATAAAAGCAGGACGAGTAGCAAACACTCCTTAATAAATAATTCTCCTGGACCTAAAACATCACAAAGGCGAAATGAAGCGGGCATAAAACTTTGACACAACAGAGAGACCGAACTGTAGCTTTCCCCTCAGTTTTTTTCTCAGCTGCTTGCAAATGAGATTAAAATAGCGATTACAGACATGGCTGAGTCTAACATTGGTACGTTCCAATTGGCAGGAGTTGGTAGCATTTCTCTTGGGAGCCGCGTCTCCTCCATTCCAGGGCGGCTTTAAAGTGCTTGCGCCAAATTCCACCTGCAAACGACGCTGACCGTCGGCTTGGGAGAAAGGGAACGGGGAAGGCTCGCTCCCCCTAGTTACAGCACGGGGAGCAGGGGCGAGGGCGCGAGGGCGAAATGCCCCCTGCTTGGATACCCTTCCCCTCATGCTCCGCTGCCGGCTGGACTCCCCGTTTGGATAAGGATTCCGTCAGCCCCCTGTTAGCGAAAAGGCGGCAGGGCAGGGCCGTCTGGCTAGGGATGCGCCGGTCCAAGGGAATCCCAAGGAAGAAGGCAGAAGGGCGCTGGCGTGGAAGAAGGGCCACGACCCAGTCCGAGGAGTTGGGAGCAAGACCCCGGGGCTCGGTGGGACTTCGTTCCGACCAGGCACGGTACAATAGCGCTGTAATGCGTCAGTCCTAAATCCGAGCGGCGGGACTTGCTCGGATATCCATGGCAGCGGAGGCGGCAGCGGGGAGGGTGGTCCTTGAAGAAATGCAATCGGGAAGAGAGAAGGGCCAGGGCAAATCGCGCTCACGTCCCCTCACGAGAAAGCCGGTGCGTTTCACAGAAATGACCGCCCAACTCTCACCATCTAGCAAAGCTACAGTCCTTAAGACACTTATTCCAGTCTCGTGCCAGAGATGTTTGTGCGACTGATCCAGACTAAGCGGCTTGAGGACTGGAGCCTTGAAATTGTGGCTGCTCGTATCTGTTGACGGACCGTCCAAGAGAACGGCTAATTTGCAATGAAGTTCAGGTGACGTGCTTGGCATTAAACTAAATGGAACCCCATGGAGCATAATGAGAGTTTGACACACAAATGGCCAGCACAGCTTGCGACTGAAGTTAGGAACATTTACTTCCGAGTAATTGTGCTTGGGATGAAACGTTATAGTGGGACAATCGGAAAGTCATGGGTCATGTCTTCCATACTTTTTCCAGAAAAGGTCTAGCTAATTTCAGTAAATTTATTTCCAAGAAACCATAATGAGGAATTTGGTGCCAAGGCTGCAGTTCTACGCACAGACCCGGTAGTAAGTTCCGGGGAGGTCAAAGGGGCTGACTCTTGAGTAAACCCAAATAAGTTAGCACAGTACGTTTGTTTACAGCCCAATACTATGCGAGTCTACTCGAGATTAAGCGCCATTATGTCCATTACGCTTCCACCGTCCGCGTGCGCGCTCGCCCGCGCATAGGGCTGCAGCCTTAGCATTTCCGCGCGGTCCCACCGCACAGTGCGCTCGCCGTGGGAGCCTGGACGGTGGGAGAACCACGAGCCCATCCGATCAAACCCTCCTAGAATAACCTCCAGGCTCGACTCAACCTTGCCAACGATTCTGCCCAAGTTAACGCTTTTTAAAAGTAGTGCATCATTTTCATCAGGTCCATAATTTGCACTGTTATCCCGGAAGATGGACCATCTGAAACACTTTTTATTGTCGTTGTATATGTAACGGATTCCAGCGGGAAAGCAACTTACTGTTAGTAAAAAGGGAGATACTTTCGGTCCCATGATGCTCTCTAGAACACTACCGAGGGCGCAATCCTATGCGTATTTAGGTAAGGGGAAAAAGTCTACAACTCCCCGTGCTGGCTGGGGAAGGCTGGGAATGGCAGGGCCCCCCAGTTTTGGTCTAAACAAGCACAGGATTGTGCCTTAAAAGGCTGAGATGCTGGACTCGCTTATTTGCAGGCAAGGGTCCCTGCAACCAAGCATCCGAACTCATCGCGCTTTGAGGCAAGAGTGCGCAAAAGAAAAAGCGCTCCGCCGTTCTAGACCAGCGCTGCTGAAATGGAAAAGTTGCTCTGCCGTGAACGGGAGGCTGCTCGGGAGGCGCCCGAAGCCCGAAGGCTGCTGAGACGAGTCCCGCACGCGCAGCACACACCCCGTTCCCCACGTGGCCGGGACCCCGCGGCCTTCTTCCCGTCGGACGCTTCCACTAAGGAGCAGCGCTCGCTTCCCCAGCCTGCCCTCAGCCTGGTGTGGCCACGCGTCGGCCCTGTGGGCGCCGCCGCCGTCCTCGCTGCCCTGCTTCGTCGCGACGCCACGTCTAGCTGGCCTCGTCAGAGTCACTGTAGTGGGAGCGGGGCGAGAACTCCCCGTCGCTGCGGTGGGCGGGCGGGGAAGGTTTCCTCCGCTCTTGCTGCTGCTGCCCCGACGGCTGCAGGAGTTGGGTCGGCGAAGGGGCCTTTTGCGCGAACGAGGGGAAATGCAGCGGGTCCAGCTGCACCGAGAAGGCTCCTGCGGCGCCGCCACCGGACGGCTCCGCCGGGAAACGCGTCCGGCAGTGCCCCGACGCCTGGCACCTGGGCGACGGCTGCGGCACGGCCGCCCCTCCCGCCGCGGCGCACGGGGAGCGCTCGTAAGCGTGCCCGACGGGCGGCAGGGCGCCCTTGCCGCTGGGGGCGCTGTCGGCGGGCGGCGGCGCGGGGCTGTGCAGGAGCTCGGCCAGGGCGCTGATGTAGATCTGCGCCATCTGCAGCGTCTCGTACTTGGAGAGCTTCTTGTCGTTGTTGAAGGAGGGGATCACGTTGCGCAGCTGGTCGAAGGCGTGGTTCAGCCCGTGCATCCGCCGCCGCTCGCGGGCGTTGGCCGCCAGGCGCCTCTGCTTCTGCACGCCGCTGGCCTGCGCGCCGTGGCGGAGGAGAGCCGCGCCGCCCGCGCCGCCGGGGCAGGGCGCGCGGGCCCGCGGCTGCGCCTGCGCCTCGCACGGGGCGCCGTCGGCGGAGAGCGGGTGCTGCCGCGGCGGGTGCTGCAGCGCGCACGGCCGCTTGCCCGGCGCGCCGCTCAGGCCCCGGGCCCCCGCGCCGGCGCCCAGCGGCTCCGGGGCCGCTGCCTCCAGAAGCTCGTCGTCGTCGTCGTCCTCCTCCTCCTCGTCTTCCTCGTCCTCCTCCCGCTCAGCTGCTCCCGACAGCAGGTACCTGGGCGACGAGGGGACGCGGCCGGGGCAGCAGATGCTCAGCCAGGCGGAGGAGAAGGCGCTGCTCCGACCCGCCGCCGCCGCCGCGTCCTGCCCCAGCAGGAGGCTCTCCTCCAAGTGCTGCTGCGGCTGCTGCGAGCCCAAGCCGCGGCCGCCTTCGCCCCACTCGCCGGGCGCAGGGGCGGCGCGCAGGTGGCTCATCGCGGCGCCGGGCGGCCCGGGCAGCAGCGGCGGGGCTCGGGGCGCCTCCGTCTCTCCCGCCGCGCGCCCCCCGGGCTGCCCCCCCACCCACCTGCCAGCCCCGGAGAACGGCAGAGCGGACGCCCCGCGCGCTCCTGCACGGGACGACGGCAGCTCCCCGGGCGCAGCGCTCGCTCCACGCGCACGCACGGCCCCGCGCACCACCGGGCTTCTCCGGTTGCGGAGGGCGCTGCGCCCCCTTTAAAAAGCGGCACGCGCCGGGGTCCCCCACCCTCTCCACCGCCTCCCTCCGCACGCACACCCCTTCTCAGCGCCCCACCCTCCGCCTCCCGCCCTCCTCGCGCCAGTCGCGTGTCAGCGCAGCCATTGGAGCCCGCGGGGTTTGTCGCGTGCGGGCAGCCAATGGGCAAAAGAGCGAAGGCTGCGCGTTTGTTTGGGCTTTCTTCTTGCTCGCTCGCTCGCTTGCTTTCTTTCGGTCCGCACCGGCGCTGAGGGCGGGGGAGGGGGGCGGGCTGGGGCGTGGTGGCGGTGGAGGAAGAGGAGGCTAGGCAGAGAGAAAAGAAAGTTGCACAAGCCACCGGGTAGCGGGGCGCCTCCGAGAAGCCGTTCAGTTGCCCCTAAGTTAGAGGGGACGCTCCGCTGGCAGGCAGGGGGTGCACCTGCGCGCGCTCGCGCGTGCGCGGGGCCGGAGCTACCTGCCGGAGCGTGTGCGCTGGAAGCGTGCCGCGCTGCGGAACAGGCGGCGGAGGGCGCGTGCCTGGAGACAGGCCCGCGCGCGCCGGCCTCCAGGGGGCTGCGAAAGCGAGCGGGGCGCCGCGGGCTCGCACGGCGGGGAAGGGCGCCCGCGGGTGGGCGCGGCGGCGCTGGGCGCTCTGCGAGCCTGCCCGGGCGCCCGCGCCGCGCTTTGCCCCCGGGAGACCGGTCTTGGCAGGGCGCAGGGACGAGCCGAGGAGAGGCGGCGAAGTTTCGCCTCGGGGGCGGCGCGCGCCTTCCGCCCGGCGGCGGGGGGGCCGGGGGGGGGGGGGGGGGGCTGCGCGCCGCGGCGCGGCTGGCCCGAGGGGCTCTCGGCGCCCGGGAGCGTGCCGGGCAAGCGTGCGCAGCGCCTCTGCCGGGGCCGGCCGTGGGGCGCGCGGTCGGGGCCGCGGCGCGTGCGGGAAACGGAGCGGCCCCCGGGGACGAAATGGAGCTCGCTCGCTCGCTCGCTCGCTCGCGGGCACCTGTGGGGCCGGCCGGAAGGAGCGCTGAAGCGCGCTCTCGGCCGCGGAGGCAGCCGCGCGGGGCCCGGGCAAGGCCGCAGCCAGCCAGCCAGCCGCGGGGGGCTGAGCGCCCACCGCTCCGGTGGATCGCGGAGCTCGCTGGCTGCGGCCCTCTAGTAGTTTCCTGTGCACGAGCAGACGAAGGATTCATCGATTATGTTGATACGCCGCCTTTTCTTCTTCTTCAAGGAGCTCGAGCTGGCTGTCATACTCCTCCTCACGATCTTATCCTCACAGCAGCCCTGTGAGGTAAGCTAGGCTGAGAGTTTGTGACTGGCCAGAAGTTCAACCAGTGAGTTTTGTGGCCAAGTGGGAAGTAGATCCCCTGGATCCCAGCACAGCACTCCAACCACTACACTGCATGCACTGGGTCTCTTAGGATTTGCTTCCTAAAGTTGCCATCGGCTGCATAGTTACTTCTGAGTAAACGTGCTCAGGCACTTAGTGTAGTATTACAACTGCCTGCATTGTGCCATTACACCTTTTCAGACCGTTGTAGGCTCATGCACCTAGTCCCTTACAAGGTCTGCTAAATACGAAAATAAACTTATTAATCTGGAAGAATAATCGGGACATCAAGTATGCCAAATGACAACTGACTTGCTTTCTCTCTGTGTGTGACTGGGACAAAAGATAAATTCTGAACTCATAATGGAAATCCAAATCTGAACCTATAATGGAAATCTTACATTTATTTGCAAGTAGAATCAGAAGAGTTAAAATAATTAATCCCATTATTTTTGCCTGCTGGGGAGTAGATGTGTTATTAAGATGTATCCCCAAGAGAGAAGCCGATCTAAGCACACATATGGGAGTAAACCCAATTGAATGCATTGTGGAACTTATTTCCTAGTATGCCTGCATAGAACTGAACTGCACAACTGTCTGTCTTCTCTGCTGGCACACATTCTTATCAGTTACATGGCTTTGCTTTAATATGAACATCATGTTTCCAGGCTTCACCATAGGCACAGTCTTATGCATGTTTAGGCAGAAAAAAGTCTACAGTTCCCAGCATGCCCCAGCCAGCATGCTGGGAATTATAGGCCTATTTTTCTGTTGAAACATGCAGAAGGTAGAGTTTCCATAAAATGACGCTTTCCCTTTCCTCGCTTTGGCTTTGGTAAATAGTACTTAGTCATACAGCTACTAACTTTAGATCTGAAAGTCTCAAACTGAATGCAAAAGGAGGTGGCTTCAGTCACACATCTTGCTTGTGTGAATGAAGCACAGAAGGAGCAAAGTAATGCCCCCTTTTTAGCAATGATTTATATTTTCATCTCCTTATGGCATCCAGAGCTAGGTCACTCCATCCAAGCCAATCAGTCCCACAGAAATCAGTGGAAGTGGTAGGTGCACTGCTCAGCCAGAATATCTCTGGGTTGTTCACCCTATCTGAATTATGAAGAGAATGAAAACCTGGTATGTTGGTGCAATAGGGTAGAAGTAAGAATGCGCAGGGGCAGAAAGAACAAATAAAGCAGGGCATGGAGAAATGGGAATGTTCCCTAACGTATTTGCATGGTAAGGTTACACTACTGGGTGGCATAGCCTGGAGTACAAGCATTTTCTCCACCTTAAAACAACCAAGCAATCACTTAAAATGATAATCCAAATTCCGGGTGAACCTGTATTTTTTGCAATCTGCATAAATTAGGGAGAGGAAGACCATGTTTAATATTTCAGTTTCTGTAGTTGATTTAGAAATAACTTTCTTTTCATCAAGGTTTTGGCCAGCCACTAAGAGGACAAAGAAGTCGACCATGAGCACCTTCTTGGTGGCCCTCAAATTATGCAATAGCCCCTCCCCCAATGGGTCCCACCTGGCATGAACATTATTATTTTGGGGACCAGATTCAGACCATTTCCTTTAAGGCTTTTGGCAGGTCTTGATATTTTAATAGGTTCTTGCCCTTTTTAAAAACAGATTTGTGTGTGTGTTTCAGTGTGACGTATGTTTAATGTGTGTGTGTGTATGGTTTTAATAATAATGTATTTTTAAAGTTTTCATATTTGTAAACCACTCAGAGAGCTTCCTCCTTCATGGATCACTGCCTTGTCGTGGTGAAGGCGCTTGCGTAGCTCAATGAAGCTATGAGCTATGCCGTGCAGGGTCACCCAAGACGGACAGGTCATAGCAGAGAGCTCTGATAAAACGTGATCCCCTGGAGAAGGAAATGGCAACCCACTCCAGCATCTTTGCCATGAAAACCCCATGGACCGTACCAAAAGGCAAAAAGATATGACGCCGGAAGATGAGCCCCTCAGGTCCGAAGGTGTCCAATATGCTACTGGGGAAGAGCAGAGGGCTAGTATTAGTAGCACCAAAAAGAATGAAGCGACTGGGTCAAAGCCGAAAGAACACTCATTTGCAGATGTATCTGGTGGTGAAAGGAGAGTCCAATGCTGCAAAGATCTATACTCCATAGGAGTCTAGAATGTAAGATCCATGAATCAAGGCAAGCTGGATGTGGTCAAACGAGATGACAAGAGTCAAGGCTATGGTTTTCCCAGTTGCAATATATGGCTATGAAAGCTGGACCATAAGGAAGGCTGAGCGCCGAAGAACTGAGGCCTTTGAATTGTGCTGGTGGAGACTCCTGCGAGTCCCTTGGACTGCAAGGTGTCAAACTGCTCAGTCCTAGAGGAGATCAAACCTGACTGATCTTTAGAAGGCCAGATGAAGATGAAACTCAAGATGAAACTTGAAGATGAAACTCAAATTCTTTGGCCACCTAATGAGAAGGAAGGACTCCCTGGAGAAGAGCCTAATGCTGGGAACAATAGATGGCAAAAGAAGAAGGGGGCGGCAGAGAATGAGGTGGCTAGATGGAGTCACTGAAGCAGTTGGTGTGAGCTTAAGTGGACTCCAGGGGATGGTGGAGGACAGGAAGGCCTGGAGGAATGTTGTCCATAGGGTTGCAATGGGTCAGACACGACTTCGCGACTAACAACAACAACAACAGAGAGCTTCAGCTACTGGGCAGTATGGAAGTTGAATGAATGAATGAATGAATGAATGGCATTAAAGCCCTATTCCAGACCTCTGGGAAAGGTATCAGCAACTTCAGGAGCAATATTCAGAACCTTGAGGCAACTGGGGGTAGCTTGCTTACATGGAGCTTGTGAATTTCCAGATAAATCTGGCTGCCTGCTTAACAGTGCTGGGCTAGTGATGAGTGGACTTACCTTGGCTTGATTCAGAAGTGGTTCAATAATTAAAACACACCAACACACCACAGACTGTCTTGGTGAGGGAAGACTGTCTTGGTGAGGGAGACGGAGTTGTGTTCAGAAAAAAATAAAACAATTCCCCCTCAGTTTTTTTTAAAGCTTGGCCCTAGTTCCTAAGAGTAGATGGCTGTTGATGGTGCAGCACACACATATTGTAATGTATTGCTTGTGAAGTCTCCAGTATTAGTTAACGGTGGAGATTCATCCAGAAATTCAGCTGCTCTTGCCCCTACCTTCCAATACAAGCACTTCCAGGAAAAAAATGCAAGAATATGAGAATGGGTTCATCCTACAAGAAGGTGTGTGTTTGGATAGTCTAATCATGTAGCTCACAGCAACCAGTGAGCATCTCAATGTAAGAAATGTTCTCATGAAAGAACATTTGCTCTTCTTACAAATCCACTAGTTTGCTAAATTCTGTGTCAGCTAGAAACTTGTTTTACATCCTGAGCTGGAACTGAGCATTTTGGCTGCATGGTGCTTGATGCGGAATATTTATTTATTAGATTT